TATATATATANANACTATATATATATATATATATATATATATATATATATATATATATATATATATATATATGTATAATTATCCAAATAGGCTAAACCCTACAAGTGCAATCGACTCCGTTGAATGTTTCTCTTGTATTGAATGCATGTATTCTCGGTAATGGCCTACTAATCGCAGTTTGTTCCATTCTTCATATCCGCTGTGGCAGAGATCAATGTCGTTGCAAGTGACGGCCGTCTGCTGCACAGCGCAGCGGACGTCTCTACGCCACGCCTATGTACTGGAACCGACGATGACACAACGCAGCCACAACACACACAGCTGATCACCCAACACCTACAACCGAAGTCACAGTCAGTACCATCACCAGACACACCACCACAACGACGTACACATACACACACACCACCACAACGACGTACACATACACACACACCACCACAACGATGTACACATACACACACACCACCACAATCACACACACAAACACAAACACACACACGGGCAGACAGATCAAGCAACACTGATGGCCAATCGCAGACTGCGAATAACCAACCAGTGGCGCTGGAACAGCCGGGTACGCAGACTAAACCACACACACAGCACCAAACACACACAGAATCACATGCACAACAACAACCACCGACACATACATACTCACCCTCACAACAACCAACTCAGCACACACATCAACAACATCCATCACCATCTCAAGCACAGTCAACCGCACCGCCACAACAGCGCGCAGCACAACAACCACACACACGCACACACCACAGACCACCTGCCAACGGCTATCTTACGTTTGATTGGTTCTCGTGCGTGGAAGGTCGCGGCACTGAGCTGCACTACACCTGGGTGGAATCTGATGGTATGAATTGGCTATAACATCTGTGTTTTAGGGTTTTAGGGTTTTAGAAACATTGAGGACTTGGGTGATTGGCTATAACATCGGTGTGCTGAAAGGACAGTCAGTGGTCTGTATACTGAGCGTGCAGTGTGGTTGCTGTGGATATCACGCACAAGAGACATTGGGAACGTGTGGGGTTGGGTGTTGGTACGAAATGGTCTTAGGGTTTATATGCTCGACTGTTTAGGGTCTGAGGATTTACAGTTGGCTGTGGGTGTCCTAGATAACGATGCGTGTGTACATAAACCTGAACCGTTTAGCGACTGGGCTGTGGAGAAGTTGTATGTGTCAAAGCTTGCGGTATATGTGAATGTAGGTTCATCTTCATGAGGACTAGTGGAGGTGGCAAATGGGCCATTTGGCTTGGGCATTTAAAACCAAATTGGTCACTAACGCACCCTTTATTGCATAGACATAAATGGATGACACCCGCACCACATGTCATGGCATCTGCGCAAGTGGTCTGTACGCAACGGACTGGTATTACAATTCAGAGGAAACCAACCCACAGGACTATATTTAGATGCGTTTCTACACACTCTCAAATCAACTCAATGGGTATACTGCACCACTACCAGTCCCTCCGCAGATGAGTCGCAATACACCACAGCCGAGTGATAAGGGCAACAGCACCAAACAACGCAACAACGGACCACGCAACGGCAAAGGAACCAAGCGCAATGGGCGCACCATGTATAGCAACAGAGACTACCCACGCACAGCCAGAGAACAGCAACCCACCGTCAGGTGAAGCGTCTATGAGTAATATATATATATATATATAGTATGTGTGTATATATT